TCGTTAATTTAACGATTTTCGTCTCGAACGACGCAGCGTCGTAACGACTTCCTGTCAAACGAAATCGTTGGAAGTTGATGGGTCTCCTGGAGTTGGTGGCCTCAAACATTGTTTCGCGAATCGTTCGTCTGACCAGTGATTTCATTTTACTGTGGATCTTCAAGTTCTTCAAAGGAAAACTCCAGCAAGTGAAAAGTGAGTACAAAAAAAAAATTCTTTCTCTTCAGAAATAATAGTATTTTTTGCACATTTTCACAGATGGCGTTCCTGAGGCTGCTGGTGTTGCTGGTCGTCGGTGTGGCGGCTGCTGGTGCGGACTGCGGTCCGGAAGACGGTGCGTTCCTGTGTCGGGACGTGTGCGGCGAGGAAGTGCGGGGCGCCGGCGGCTACGGGCGCCGCGTGACGTTCGTCGGGGCGACGCTGTTCTTGGACTGCGTCAGGCAGGCGGATCTCAAGGTGAGTTTCAGGAAGATTGTTAGTAAGACCAGTGTGACAGCCATCTTGTTTGTAGGAGGTGAAATTGCTGTCGCCGACGGTCTGCGTCGGGCGTCGGGCCGACATGGATCGTGTCGTGACGCCTTGGAGGTGGTGCGAGGAGGTCGTGCCACCCGAGCCGGAGATCTCGACGGCGGCGGTTCCGCCGGTGGTTGGTGAGTTTGTTTTTTAGCTTTTTCCACACAAACATAAATCACAACACAACTCGCATGACATTCTTACACCAACACAACATGTAACCAACACCTGTAACCCGACTGCCAAAAATTTTCCGTCACCAAATTTTATAAAAAATTTTTATATATATATATATACAGATGAGCCTCGCCCGGTGGCGCGGACAGCCAACCTGGCGGTTGTTCCGGTGCCGGCGATCAAAACGCCGTTCGTGGTTCGGGCGCCGCCCTCGACGCAGCAAAGCGTCGTAGTGGCCCAAGAGGCGCCACATGTCATCAAGGCGCCATCGTCGACGCCAGAAGTGACGGTCAACATCAAGCATGGTGTTGCGCACGTCGAGGCGGACGTGGACCCTTGGACAGCCATGGTCCTGGTCTTTATGGGCCTTGGTGGGGCTGGTGCCACCTCTTTGGCAGTTTTCCTAGTTTGGCTGGTCAAGTTCATCAGGAACAAGGTTAGCCAAATTTTTCTTTTTGTTTTTTCTAAAAAATGATTAACAATGCATTTTGCTTCTGTGCTTGCTTTGCTTTTTTGTGCATGCATTTTTGAAACAGAGAAAGAAAAGAATTTTAAAGTTAGATAAGGCTAAAGTTAAGGAATGCATAGTAGGATCTATGCCCAATATATTTTTTAATGGGCTAGATTCTGATGATGAAGAATTTGAAATTTTCTCTCAGAATTATGCAGATATTTTGTGCATGCATTTTTGAAACAGAGAAAGAAAAGAATTTTAAAGCTAGATAAGGCTAAAGTTAAGGAATGCATAGTAGGATCTATGCCCAATATATTTTTTAATGGGCTAGATTCTGATGATGAAGAATTTGAGGTTTTCTCTCAGAATTATGCAGATATCAGGGCTAGATCCCCAAGAGTTTCTACTTTTAGACAAGGTAAATAAACAGCATGTAAATACAAAACAACGCATGCAATAATTTTTGATGCTTTGCTTGGGGCTTTCTCTTTTTGTTTTTTCTGTATAGTCATCGTACATGCGGGAGTTGGTGCGGATGCTGACGCCGGAGGATCAGCAGGATCCGGAAGCCCAACCAGTAGTGGATCTGCTGGGGCTGGAAGAGGCGGATAAACCCGTCGAGAACGTCGAGAAGGAGGAAATAGTCCTAGAGGACACTAATCCGTTTAAAGAGATGTTGAACGCGTAATATGTAAAAATCGCGTCAAAGAAAGAAAGTGCCATTTTTTGTACCCGCGTTTTATATGGGTAAAAGGCAATAAGAGAAATTGTAAAAAGAATTTCTGGCCTCTGATTCTCTTTTTTGTTTGTTTTTTCCAGCCGAATTCTTTTTCAGAAAGTGATCAGCGAATGGACAAGATTCCTGTGGAGGAGTCCATCTCCAATCTAGGATAAATGGCAGGCTTAGGAGTAGGAGATTGAATAAACCTCACAGATGCTTGAGCATCATTAGATCTCCTGGAAGGAGAGGATCTCCTAAGTTGTAAGACATAGCGTATCTTAGCATAGCATAAATAAACAAGACAAAGTAGAATAATGAGCAATAATGAGACTGACACAATCATATAAATATAACCGTAGTCTCTAAAATGTATTTGTAGCTCACTGATGTCTGAGGAAATTTGATGGATCCCTGGCGTAATAGCAGGTATTTCTTGCACCGCATTAATCTCAATATTCTCAAGTTTAGGCAACACATCAGTAAAAGGACCATTCACAACTGTATAGCGACAATTAGGCTTAAATTGAAGAATTCCAGAATAAGGTAATTCATAAGAATTATCGTAACTTCTTGATTTTCGTTTCGGACGCGGACGCGTCGTTAACGACTTCCTGTCTCCAGGAGTCGAAAAAAGTTGATGGGTCTCCTGGAGTTGGTGGCCTCAAACATTGTTTCGCGAATCGTTCGTCTACTTAGTGATTTCGTGCTGTTGGGGATCTTCCAATTCGTCAAGAAGAAGTTTTTTCAAGTGAAAAGTGAGTCAACAAAAAAAATATTTTTCTTCAGAAATAATAGTGTTTTCTCGAAATTTTCACAGATGGCGTTCCTGAGGCTTCTGGTGTTGCTGATCGTTGGTGCTGTGGCTGCTGGAGCGGACTGTGGTCCAGAAGACGGGGCGTTTGTGTGCCGAGACGTCTGCGGCGAGGAGGTGAGGGGCGCCGGCGGCTACGGGCGCCGTGTGACGTTCGTCGGAGCGATGCTGTTCCTGGACTGCGTCAGGCAGGCGGACTTGATGCCTCAAACATTGTTTCGCGAATCATTCGTTTGCTAAGTGACTTTGTGCTGCTAGGAATCTTCAAGTTCTTCAAGGAGAGATTTTTTCAAGTGAAAAGTGAGTCTTAAAAAAAAATAAATTTCTTTCAGAAATAATAGTGTTTTCGAAATTTTCACAGATGGCGTTCCTGAGGCTGCTGGTGTTGCTGGTCGTCGGTGTGGCGGCTGCTGGTGCGGACTGCGGTCCGGAAGACGGTGCGTTCCTGTGTCGGGACGTGTGCGGCGAGGAGGTGAGGGGCGCCGGCGGCTACGGGCGCCGCGTGACGTTCGTCGGTTCGACGCTGTTTCTGGACTGCGTCAGGCAGGCGGACTTGAAGGTGAGTTTCGAGAAAAAATGAAACAAATGCGGGTATGACAGCCATTCTTGTTTGTAGGAGGTCAAGCTGCTGTCGCCGATGGTCTGCGTCGGACGTCGGTCCGAGATGGATTGCGTTCCTGTGTCGGGACGTCTGCGGCGAGGAAGTGCGTGGCGCCGGCGGCTACGGGCGCCGCGTGACGTTCGTCGGGGCGACTCTATTCTTGGACTGCGTCCGGCAGGCGGATCTCAAGGTGAGTTGTCGAAAAACAGAATAAGTGATAGGTGTAACAGCCATTCTTGTTCATAGGAGGTCAAGCTGCTGTCGCCGACGGTCTGCGTCGGGCGTCGGGCCGACATGGATCGTGTCGTGACGCCTTGGAGGTGGTGCGAGGAGGTCGTGCCACCCGAGCCGGAGATTTCGACGGCGGCGGTTCCGCCGGTGGTTGGTGAGTTTGGTTTTCAGCTTTTCCATACAGACATATATCATTGCAACACAACTCACACACATAACATCATGACACATACCCAACACCTGGCCAACACCAAGACACAAACAAAAATTTTCCTTCACCAGATATTAATGAAAAATTTTGTATGTACAGACGAGCCTCGCCCAGTGGCGCCGACGGCCAACCTGGCGGTTGTCCACGTACCGGCGAGTAAAACGCCGTTCGTGGTTCGGGCGCCGCCCTCGACGCAACAAAGCGTCGTAGTGGCCCAGGAGGTGCCCCATGTCATCAGGGCGCCATCGTCGACACCTGAAGTGACGGTCAACATCAAGCATGGTGTTGCGCACGTCGAGGCAGATGTGGACCCTTGGACTGCAATGGTCCTAGTCTTCATGGGCCTTGGGGGAGCGGGAGCCACGTCTTTGGCTGTCTTTT